TGAAGGCAACAACACCATGAGGCCCAACAGAGCAAATCAAATAGGCAAGGCAAGAAATTAAAAGGAGAAGGTGAAAAAGTAAAAAGATTCAACAAAAGGCCAATAACATGTCAATAATAAGTCAGTACATATCAGTTATAACCAGCAATGTCAATGGCCTCAACTCACCAATCAAGACTGGCAAAATGGAACAAGAAGCAAAATCCAACAATAAGTTGTATACAGGAAACACACCTAGTGCAAAAAGAAGCCCATAGACTGAAACTGAAAAGATAGAAAACAATTCTCCATGTGACAGGAGCCCAGAAAAAAACAGGGGTAGCAATCTTATTTGCAGACAAAGTAAATTTCAAACCAAAACTGAATCTAGTATTATTGATGTAGGATGGTACTATATCATACCTCTATGGATGTAAAATATCTAGTACCTGCTTTATGATACATAGTAGGGACCGTGCTTTATCAGAGCTACATTTAATGATATTACTCTAGAATGTTCTCTTTCCAGATGATGATTAAGAGGCTAATAGAAAAAAATGGTACCAGGTACCACAACAGCAACAAAACTTTGCTGTTGTCTGGATATTATTCTTTTCTTTGTTTTTTTTGTTTGTTCGTTTGTTTTTAATGGAATGTGCTAAATGTCTATAATTTTGTTCAGATGACTGTAGAAGCTGGAAAAGCTGTTGCTGCTATCGATGCATATATTATTAGTCTTTATATAAATAAATATATATACACACACACACACACACACACACATATACATATAAATTGAATTTTGGGAAACTTTAACTGTGCTGCCAACTTTGGAAAAAGTCATCCCAATTTACTGTGTTGAGTTGGCATTGTACAGATATGAACAACCATATTGGTCTAGAAATGTTTATTTTTATTTTTATTTTTTATTTTTTTTCCATGTGTACAGGGGTAACACATCGTACTAAATATGTAAAGTCATATCTACATGGGTTTGATTACAGAAACTAATAAAGTATTCTCTAAATAATGAAAAAAAGAATAAGATAAGACTATAAGAGCAAGAAGCAATTTAAATACGTTCAGGGACCATTTTCATCTCCAGAATTAAGGATTATTTTAATGTTACATCATTGCCTTTTCTCTTTTACTTTCCTTTTTAGTTTTATTTTAGGATTCTCTATTTTTAATGTTCATACAGAGATTTCTTCAACTGAAACATCGAATAGTTTCTTTGGTGTGAAAAACTATAATAGTACACAGGATCCTAATGAGATA